GTTTTCGAGGATGGATGGGTCGTGGCTGCATATACTTGTGTTTATAAACAGAACGACACAAGTATCGTTTAACAGATCTTGTGTTGTTCTGTTGATTTCTCAAATATTTTTCTTATTTTTCAACGCAATGACTTTAAACCTTGAATCCTCTAACTTAAAAAAGTCAGAAAGGTTGATCATGTGACAAAAGAAATGTTGAATTGACATAGGTTATATGATATCGAGTTGGTGAAATCACAAGTCATTATATTGATTCGTTAAAAAAAATATAATTAATGAGCAGATCTTATAACTTTTATAAACAGAACCCCCATCTTTTAACTTAAATGTAATTCAATTTATTGGTTCTCAAGGCATGGATGTGTCATAGCAGCGTATACTTGTGTTTATAGGCAGAACGACAGAAGTGTCGTTTAACGGCTCTTGTGCCGTTCTATTGATTTTTCAAATATTTTGCTAATTTTCTAACGCAACGACCTCAAACTTTGAATCCCCTAACTTAAGAAAGTTAGAAAGATTGATCACGTGACAAAAAAAGGCTGAATTGATATAAGTCATACGATATCGAGTTGGTGAAGTCATAAGTCATTGTATTGAAACGTTAGAAAATATAATTAATGAGCACATCTCTCAATTTTTGTAAACGGCATGCCCATCTTTCAACTGAAATCTGTTCAAATTATTGTTTCTTAGGGGCATGGATGAATTGTGGCTGCGTATACTTATGTTCATAGACAAAACGACACAAGTGACGTTTAACGACACTTTTGTCGTTATGATGATTTCTCCGATATTTTACATCTTTTCCATCGCAACGACCTCAAACATTGAACCCCCTAACTTAAGAAAGTCAGAAATGTTGATCATGTGACAAATAATAGTAGAGTTCACATAGATTATACGATATAGAGTTGGAGAAATCACAAGTCGTTATCTACATTCATTAGAAAATATAGTTTATGAGCACACATCTCTCAAACTTTGTACATGACGTGTCCATCTTGCAACTGAAATGAACTCAAATCATCGATTATTAAGGATAGGATGGGTTGTGGCGGCTCATATTAGTGTTTAAAGATAGAACAACACAAGTGACGTTTAACGACATTCCAATGATTTTTTCGATATTTTGCATCTTTTCCAGTACAACAACCTCAAGTATTGGACCCCATAACTTAAGAAAGTTAGAAATGTAGACTATGTCACAAATAATGGTAGAATTCACATAGATTATATGATATAGAATTGGAGAAATCACAAGTAGTTATTTACATTCGTTAGAAAATATAATTAAAAAGCACATCTCTCAAACTACACGACATGTCCATCTTACAATTGAAATGAGCTCAAATTATCGATTATCGATGATATGATGGCTAGTAGCTGCTCATATTAGAGTTTAAAGACAGAACGACACAAAGTGACGTTTAACGACACTTGTACCGTTTCGATGATTTTTTCGATGTTTTTGCATCTTTTTCTACTAGAACGACTTCAAGTACTGGACCCCTAACTTAAGAAAATTAGAAATGTTAACCATGTGACAAATAATGGTAAAATTCACATAGATTATACGATATAGAGTTGGAGAAATTACAAGTTGTATCTACATTCGTTAGAAAATATAATTAATGAGCACATTTCTCAAACTTCGTACACGATTTGTCCATCTTGCAAATGAAATGGGTTCAAATCATTGATTATCGAGGATAAGATGGGTCGTGGCAGCTTATACTAGTGTTTAAAGACAGAACGACACAAGCCACATTTAACAACACTTGTGCAGTTCTGATGAATGTGTCATGACTTCATACACTCATATTTATAGACAGAACGACACAAGTGTCTTTTTCTTTACAGTAAAGACACTTGTGTCGTTCTCATGAACAAATTATATTTCGATAAATACACTTGTGTCGTTTTTTTAGAACTTTTCACTCAGTAACAGCACAAGCACCGTTCTCAATGACATTTTCATCCTCTAAACGACACTTGTGTCAAAAAACGACACTTGTGTCATTCTCTTAGAACTTTTCATCTCAATAACAACACAAGCGTAATTCTTAATAGCCTTTCACCCTCAAGCACTAGATCTCTAAAGTACGCAAGAAAAGTAGATCATGTGACGAAGAATGATTAAATGAGTTCAACTTATTATTTCTCGAGGCACAAAAAGGTCGCGACTATTTAAACTCTTATTCATGACAGAATGGCAAAAGTGCCGTTTTATTACTAGTAACGACACTTGAGCTGTTCTATTGATTTCTCCTTTATTTTCATTTGTTTTCAATGCAACGACCTTTATAATTGGGCACCCTTAGTTGTGCAGTTTTCATAGTAATAATATAGTTTATATTTATGTATGTCACTTGTGTTGCTCTCTTAGAATTTTTCATCTCAATAACGGCATTGATACCGTTCTTAGGGACTTTTTAAATACTGTAACGACACTTGTGCCATTCTCATGAATACTTATAAATCAAATATAGTGATAGTTGTGCCATTCTCATAAACGTTTGCGTCTCAATAATGATACAAGTGTCATTCTTATAGACAACTGATGTTCTCGTCTTAGTAACGGCACAAGTGTCGTTATCATGGACAAATAAATTTATAATCATAATGACAGTTATGACATCATTGGGATGCTAGACTAACAATTAATGAGCACATTTCTCGACTCATATTTATAGATAGAACGAATAAAGGATCGTTTTCATTTCAGTGACGACTCTTGTGTTGTTCTATTGATTTTGCCTATATTTTGATTTTATTCCAATACAACGATTTCATATATTGGACCCCCTAATGAATCATAAACATTTTCATCTGAGTAATGATGTTTGCTCCGTTCTCATGAAATTTTGTAACAAATATGAACACACTTATATCGTTCTCATCTTTCTCTTATAAGTTCAGTAACGGCACTTGTATCATTTTTGTGGATGTTTAGCCCTCGTTTGGCCCTCATTAAATTTCATTACATTTTTATCTTTTCTATTTTCAACCATACAATCTTTCATAAAATAATATTACACTTAAATCGAAAACTTTTCCTTTTTTTTTCCAACCACACATTTAAAAAAAACACAATTTCACCCATTTTCATTTCTAGAAAATGGGGGCCAAACGGGGGCTTATATTTCTAATAACGTAACATGTGCTATTATCATGAAATAACAACAAACTAGAGATAGATGTATCATTAAAACGTAAATATTTAACTTAAAAGACATTAACAAAAATGTAGGAAAAATTAACAGAACAGCACAAGTGCTGTTATTAATATGAAAACGACCAATTTGTCATTATAGGGTTGTTTGAGCCCCTTTTTTTCAAAAAATAAATTTTGTAATAGTGTTATAATGGAGAATGTGTGATTAAAAATAAGAAAAATTTTTGGGTTTGTGTATAATATTATTTTACTGAAGTACGTGTTGTTAAAATGTGATCAAATTACTATTCAAGAATGCATTTTGATAAAAAAAAAAAAAAACAAACAAAGACTCAAACAAAGGCTATATGTGTTAATAGAGTAAAAGCAGCTACGTCTTATTTATGTCTCGAGAACTAATAGTGGAACTCATTTATGTTATTTATGACATTTTCAAACTTTCTATATTACATATGTTAAGGAGTCCATTATTAAATGTTGTTTTGTTGAAAAAATCGGATATTGGTGAAAATTTCGGAATGACACAAATGTTGTTACTAGACATAAAAACGACACTTGTGTTGTTATATATATAAATATGAGTATAAGTAGTCACGGTTCATTCTTTTCCTGAAAAATAATAACTGGAACTTATTTATATTGTAATATGTACAAGACACGTACAAAAATTGATAAATATTTTTATTAACTTAATCGACACATATAAATGTGATAACTTGTATTTTTACCATCTCAATAATAACAAAATTATGTCGTTTCAATCGTTCTTTCTAACTAGTCAATCTTTCCTGTTATATATGTTAGCGAGTCCATTATTAGAATCATTTCATTGAAAAAATCAAACTACAGCAGATAACGACTGTAGTGTCGTTTTATTTTACAGATAACGGCTGGAGTGTTATTCTATATTTCAGATAGCAATTGTAGTGTTATTACATCCAATGGTTGCAAATAACACAAAAAACATACTAAATAAGCAAATAATACAAACTAAATATTATTTAATACTATATTTAATAATAAAAATACAACATAGATGAGATTTCTAAGAGTATCTTTCCTTTTTCTTTCAATGTAAATGTATACTAACCAAACTCTTGTTCAAATGTGATTGAAGAGAAGAAAATAGGTGAATGTAATTTTGTGAATTTAAAATTGAAGAAGATGAATAGGGGAAGAAGATATTATTTTCAAAAAAAAAAAAAAGGAAATTAGGGTTTTAAAATGAATTTGAAGGAAAAATGACGGGATGAAATGAGAAAAATTGGAAGACATTAAGTTAACAATTAAAGGAGAATTTTGTCATTTTGCCAACTAAAATATTTTACATTTTTTATTTGTTTTTATTATTGGTCAAAGGCCATTTCATCAAATACATTGTTTAGTTAGGCAAAATGGCCAAATTTCCCATAAAAAAATGTTGTTATATTGCTATCACTGTTTTTATCTGATACATCATATTTTAATTGCACTTAAACTTTTTTAATCTTCGCTCATGGTAGTAATTATTTGATACTTAAATTTAATTGCACTTAATTTTTTTTTTTTTTAAATATGATGAAAAAATAAGTTGTTTTATACTATTTCAACGACTTTTGAATATAAAATTATTATCAAATATAAAATGTACCACCTAAGATATAAGTTCTATAATGAGAAAGGATTAAAAATTAATTGTGATTAAAATATGGTGCAATAAATAAAAATTGTGATGTGAATATAATTACTCCCAAAAAAAATTGCTTATCTGCCTAAACCATCTACATTGCCTAATTAATTTACAGTTAAACTACTCACATTACCAAAGTCCAAAATTCTCTTACAGGGGTACTTTGGGAAATGTATAGAAAAGAACTGCCATTTTTCGTTTTCAACCTTCTCTTTCGAAATTTCAAACTTAAAACATTTTCAGAAAATTCTTTAGGGGCCTCTGAATTATTCAACTGTGGAAATTCAAGGTATACTTTGCCCTTTTCGTTTTTATATCCGCTCTCTAAATTCTGATTTTGACTTTTTTTGTTTTTGCTTCATTTTTTTAATTAAATTGAATTTCATATGATATATTTTGCGAATTCTGATAGAGTATTTTTGGCTTTGATTATGGTCTCGAGTTGCTAATAAGGTAATGAAATGAGCGAAAAAGATTTGGGTTTTCAGTATTTCTTTTGTTTGGTTATGTTTAAGAACTAAAGGAGCCAAATTATTTGGTTGAATCCATTAATATAATTCTGCTTTCATAATCTTTTCCTGTTATTGATTGATAGAATATGCAGTGGATGGGAATTTTGTGTTATTACTTCTAGTCAGATGGGATTGGAATTTTTGAATTTTCGATACATCAATACCAAGGCTATTTGGTTTCTTTTACCTTATCAAGAGCTTTGAAGTTTGGAATTTGGGGATGTTATTTGTGTTAGTTTATGCAAAGGGTATAATTTGCTGCTTTAGCATATCTAAATACTTGAAAGCTTGGGATTAAGAAGTTACTCATCATTTTTCCCCTTATAGCAAATTCATTAGTCCTTCGTTGAATCACTTCGTCTAAAAGTTTGAATCATTTGAGAAGAAACTCATTTATTTATTTAATTTCAGTCTTTATCCCTTCCTCACGTCTGTTCCGGATTCATTTCTTCACCAAAAGGTGACACTTTTACTGTTCATAAATGGTGGGGAATAGGCTTGAACTAAGGTTCTTCGCATTCTCTTATAATGTGTTGAATCATTTAAAAGCTTAAGCTCTTAGAAGGAGGAAATATTTATTTATTTATATAAATACTTTAAAGCGCTCATCCAATATGAAGTGCTTAGTGGCTCCAGGTTGCCGATTCTGTATTATTTTGGCTTAAGGTGAAACACTAAGTTTTATACTTCCCTCTTGCTTTGGGATTACCCTTTTGTTATGCCATAAGAACGGACAAGGAAAAGAGTATGATTTAGTTGGAAAATAAGTTAAGAAAGTTTTCTATTCTCTTGATTGGAATTTTCTTTTCGAGGCTTGAAATTCAAAGAAACTACTTAGAGTATAACGTCCCTTGATTCTTATCAGTTTTACTTTCTATTCACTCATCTGCATGCTTAAAGGCTTAATCTTGTTCCGGTTCCCAATCGTTATAACTTTCTTCTGCAATGATTCCATTCTGGGATTTTACACTTTTTATTTTCATTTTCTCGAGCTATTTCGTGTATATAACTTATCTTTATGACACATATTTCTATTGAATTCAAATTTGGAGATGCTCATTTATGCTGGGCGAGGTTACCTGTGAGAAATCACTTGATACAGATTTTATATTATCCTTGGTTGGACACTTATTGTTTAATTTTGTTTTCAAGGAAACAAAATTTGAAAGGAGGGTTGCAGCTGTGATGAATTATCGCCTCGGGGGACAAAACCAAAGACCAAGAGGATTAAAGGTTAAGCGTGGCTCTCAGTATGCGTTAATTTTAGCTATTTTCATCTGGTTTCTGTATTGGATTAATTGCTCTCATGATGAGACAGAACATTATGCTCGGAGCTCTCAAAGAAAGCTTGGTGAAGAACATGATGCTGTCATTTTGGGCTGCAAAGTAAATGTTGGATGGTTAACTGGTAGAGGTGATCCAGAGTCGGTGAATGCAAATTTCATGACCAAATCAGAAAACAATGAAGCCAGTGCTAGAGCTCATGAGTTAACTAAAATACCGAGAGAGAAAGCTAAGAACAAAATTTTTTACCTCGAGAGACAGGGAAGTTCCCTGATTGATGAGAGAGATGATCGCAAAAATTTTGAAAGACTAAAGGAGATCTCTTCGTACAAGGGACATCATAAAAGTTCTCTGCAAAGTGCTTTGGCCGACAGTCAGAAAGTATCAGAGACAGACGTGAAAAAGATAGAAAATGGTGGGGGCATTAGTGGTACAGAAACTAAGGAGAAAGACGAACACGAATTTGCTCTAGAAGTGGAAGGAGAAAACGTTACAAGTGACCAGCAGCATGAAACAGAAAATGGAGTGCATGGATTTGATGATGAGAATGGGGTTCCACAGGATTTTAATGATGTTACACAGTCTCAAGTTTAGAGTTGGTACAGTTGATTCCTAGTGACACTTCTTAGAAAATAAGTGTTCAAATGTAAAATCCTATTTTCCCCTTTGATGATTTCTTCATTTATGTATTTTTGCTTATTCGAAGGATTGAAATTTGACGTGTTAAGAGTTAGATTTTTATTATAATCTAGTTGACATGGACCATATAATCTAAACAATTTAATTGTTTCCTCAATGTTAAGTTTGCCGACTTATATGATTAAAATGATGATTAGGCTCATCTAACCACCAACCGAAGTTCTCTTCCTTTGAAACTGGTCTCTTTTTTATGGAAAAGTACTTTCAGAATTTTCCTTCTGCAAACTCATGAAAACTATGCAGAAGACAACCGAAGTTCTCTTCCTTTGAAACTGCTCTCTTTTATGGAAAAGTACTTTCAGAATTTTCCTTCTGCAAACTCATGGAAGTATGCAGAAGACAATCAGAAAAAGAATAATATTTTTGCTGGAGTAGGATGATCCATTCTTAACGCAAAAATCGCTTAAAACATGGGCCGACTATCTGCTGCAACTTGGGGCTATTTATATAGGAATAAATAGTTAATGGAGAGTCCTAACTCCTAAGTTAGATGAATAACCCAATTCAAGATTTTGTGTAACTTGAATCAGAGAAACTTCCCAGTATTTTAGAGCAAATCTGAAGCAATTGCAAGTGCAGGCTTCAGAGACAAAAACAACGTATTAATAAGATCAAAGTTATCAAATTAGATAAGTTGGTTGACTAACACTTTTGTGCATTTGATTGAGTACAAAATTTATTATTTTTCATGATCTTTAACTCCTCGAAACTTAATCAACTACTTCGTTCAAATTCATGTCTAAATGTTTAATTTAAATTGGACTTTTGGTACGTGATACTCAATAACATAATGAACAGTAATTTTCAGGCAGTTTAAGTTTTTAGATGAGATAATATACTAAGTTGGAGGTCACAATGATATTATGAAATGAGTAAAATAGTTTTGGCTTTTCAGTATTTATTTTCTTGATTTAGAAGACATGGGAGATGGGAATGCAAAGGAAAACGATGAAAGCCAGCAGGAGATGTAAGGTGACAAATCATTCGATTGAAGCATTCGGCTGTACAATTTTGGTATCATATTACTTTCCTGTTTTAAAATGACCTCAGCCTTAAAATGTTGAATAGGATGTGCACAAGACAAGAGATTGTTGTTTCTTTACTTTCAATCTATGACTTAGCCAATATATTTTAATTTTCTCGAGTTCTGATCGAATTTGGGATATTTAAATTTCAATTATTTCGACATCGAAGTTGCTTGTGGTTTTTTCGTCCCAAGAAATAACTTTGAAGTTCGTATTTGGTGATGTTATTCCTGTCAATTTCGTTATTTTGCTACTTGTGTGAAATGGTTATAATTTTCACCTTTGACAAATTAAAAAAAACTTGAAAGCTTGGACTAAAAAAAGCTGTTCGTTCAAATTTGTCTTCAACGAACCCCTCTTGTGCAAGCAGATACATATTTTCATTGAAGGCTTGATGAGCGCACTGTTTTCGTGAATGGGCTACAATAAGATTTGAATTTAAGATTTGCCTGTTGAAGTACATCATCTAAATGATTAGACTCTCAGATCGAAGACAAATATTTCTTTAAATTTAGTACATCACTCTTATATATTCATAATGTTGGAGAAGGGAATTCCTTTACAATTGCGTGAAACAAGAACTCTACAGTAGATTCTAAAGCATGGGATAATGCTTTCCTTAAGACTTTATTTGTCCTTTACGAATGAGTGTCCATGTATTCCAAATGAGCCTCTAATATACATTGGAATCAAAGTAGATGTTTGTTGGTATTTATGCACTAAGAACAAAAACTTAAAGAATAATAAAAGAAGAAAATGTAAGAGCAAGAAAGCAAGATTTTCATGTATATCCAAATGAAACATAAAGCTCTATATATAGAGTTACAGTATAACACCAGTCACAGCTATTCATAAATATAGATCAGTAACATATGTGAAGAGAGGTAACCAAAAAAAAAAATCGAAGAAAACATCTTGCGTTCACTGAAGAAAGGCCGTTCCATTACATATAGGTAGCCATCTTGGGGCCCTGGACGGCCACCGTAAGCATGTGGGTGGGCAGTTTCGGGTATCCAAGAATACCTGCATGCCGTGATCAGTTTGCCTAAGAGCTCTAGCGGCCCCCCCTCTAGCTGTTAAGGGAAAATAATCCCATATCGGTAAAATACCAAAATATTGACCAATTTAAAAAGATTTTGGGCCGCTCCTCTTAACAAGGTTGACCTTATTAAGATTGACCTCAACTCTTAACATGGTATCAGAGTCCAGTATGCTCCAACGAGCTATTCGATCCGATTAAATCTAAAAAATGAGCACACGAATTTCAAGATGGTCTGCTCAAAAAATTAGCCACCATCTTACGGGGGCATGTTAAGGGAAAATAATCCCACATCGGTAAAATACCAAAATATTGACCAACTTAAAAAGATTTTGGGCCGCTGCTCTTAACAAGGTTGACTTTATTAAGATGGACCACAAATCTCAACACTAGCATGGCGATCTTGGCTCGTTCTCCTCGATCCTCCATCATTCTGAATGTTCCTCAGATGATACCTTGACACTTGCAAATTCTTTTAGACATTCTATAATGTCAAAAACTAACTTCGTTGGAAAATCTGTTGGGAATCTACTTAACATACGCAGCGAAATATTAAAACGGATTTCGATTCCCACCAAGAATCGCCTTTGTGTTTAGATAGAAATTGTGATAAGATTGTACCTTTTCAAATCTGCAAACTTCTTTGCTATTTTTTTCGTTCTAGCAATCTTGATTCGCTACCCATAGTTGTCCAATTGTCCAGCCTCCAACGATAATCCACACAGAGAACAAGATTGCAGCTACCCAGGGTTTTCTCTTCTTGTGCTTGCAAGAATAATTATGAGAAAAACATATGGATTGAAAACCCTAGCCATGTATTTATATAAACCCAAACGGGCCTGGTCAGGTCCGATCCAATATTTAATTAATCCGGTCTGTGAATTAATTAATCCAATTAATTAATTCGGGCCTATAAATAACCAAACAAATTAATTAATTTATCCAATGATTGTTAAATTAATTAATTGACAAATTGTAATCTTCCAATTCTCTTTTGTATGCGACTCATCAGGTTCCCGATCACGATGCCTAACGACGTGAAATATTATTTTGATCTAATCAAAATTGATAAATTAAAACACCATTTTAATTTATCACCAATTCACACTCGCTGTCCCATAATGACATCTAACAATGTGTTAGGGCAATATATGTGACAGAAAATGTCACGTGGTATGAGAAAACAAAACTCGTTCATTTACCGTGAAACTATAATCCTTTCGTCAATATGATCCGATCAATTACGAGATATGGAAGTGTGTCAATCTCGATTATCGGTCATATCTTTCACTCCACTATTAAGTCAATATAAGTCGAAAATTCCTTTTTGACTTATGAGTACACTTTGGCCAAGGATTTCATCATCGACTTAATTGAATGAAACGCAGATCACAATCTCCTACTATCTAAGAGTGACGAATCCTTTATTGGTCAATCACAATCTTCATACGATTCTTAATGTACACGAACGATGTCGTATTAGTGGCCCTTTGCAGAGCAACATTCAACACCGCCAAAGTATGACTGTCTTCATATAAGGTACCATGACGAACTCAAGTCAAAGGACCAATTCCACTACCGAACGTTAGAAATTAACAACTGACACTCAGATAGTTATCCATGTGGAATCTCTTGGAGGGTCTCCAATGTTTTGTTCTATGACAAAACATCCACGTGTTCATTTAAGTGTCACCATACTTTAGCTTGTGAGATCAGCTATTTACTTCACAAAAAAGAAATGCCACACGTGATGGTCTATCTGTAATAACGATATCCGTATCTCGTTTATTACTTACGACCACGGACGATTTAAGATTCAATCATATATAATTTGTGTCTCACAATCACAACTCCTTGTGATTAACAAATTACGAATATTTGAATCTACGGACTCTATTATTTAGTTAATTGTCTATTAATTAAATAATAGATCTGTCATTAAATTGCATTAATTATATATCAAAAGTATTTATGTCCAAAGTTGATTGGACCTAGGGCATAATACTTACAAACTCCCACTTGCATTAGATCCAATCACTTATGTATCCAATATCATAAATCTACATGACGATCATGTTTATGCTACGACAACTCTTTGTCAGTGGATCTGCAATATTGTTAAATATGAGAATTTGTTCTTCTCTTTACGTCATTTCTATATATTATCTCTCTGATAAGATTATACCACCTTAATACATGTTTGGATCACTGATGAGACCTTAGTTCATTCGCTTTCGCAATGACTCTATTATTATCACAATACAATTGCATGTGATCAACAATATCAGGAACTACTCCAAGTTCATTTATGAACATCATGATCCAAATTGCAATTCTTTGCTACTTCTGAAGTAATCATGTATTAGGTTTTTACTATTGAATCAACGGTTGCTTCACGTTTGGAACCTTTCCAACATACCGCTTAAGAGTAAATTAGTTTCTCCATATGAAATTTTCTCAAGATTTCATCTTTGTAAATTGGGATGAGTTAATCAATCTTCTAGATTTACCTCTATAGATCAAGTTGCTTCTCCCATATCGTTCATGAATGAATCCTTTAACAACCATTATTTCAACGATTGAAAAATAGGGATGTCGTTTTCTATAATATTAAGAATACGACAATGCTCCCACTATCTTCTTGTAAACACACAATTCGTCTTCAAATTTAATAAAATCAAACACTTTGACTTTTCCATCAAATTGAAGATTTCAGCTCCATAGAGACTTCTCTTAACCTACAGTCACGATATGCAACTGTTGCAAGCAAAATTCGAATGGACTTCAGTAAGGCTATAGGAGAAAGGTTTCACCAAGGTCAACTCTTAACCTTTGCTATTAGCCTTGCTTTGTATATATGGATATTCCCATCCATATCGCCCTTTTCCTTGTAAACTATTTACAAAAAGGAGGCTTGACCAATGTCCAAACTTTGTTCACATACGTCGAGTTCATTTCGAGTTTCATGACCTCTTGCT